CAGATGAAATGCGTCAAAGGGCTTGCCAATTCAAAGGAAAGTGCAACTCGCAGCAATAATTCGCTCTCAAAGCATAGATTCTCAAGAATTCTACGATTAAGAAATTGTGAATGTAATGCAGGGCTTCCATGAAGAGTATAATAGAGTCGAGTTGGTCTACCAATAGTCACTGCAGTTGACTGTTAAAGCGACTACTTCACGAGAATATAATTTCCTTGTCAAGCGATGCATATGAACATATTAAAATGCTTTGCAAATTATACAAATCAAAATTCACAATTGGCTTACCCCCCAACCCATAACTCCCCCCTCCCACAGCCAAAAGGGAGCAGTCTTTGAGCCGTCTTGGCTCGTTTGACTGTCGGAATTCTTACAATTTTGTGTGGCCAAAATACAGAGCTAACTTATGCTGACGGACAAAGTGTTCTGGCTTTGTGAACCCCATGTTAAAAGCAACAAGCTAAGACCAGCATAGCTTGTTATTTACCACCTCTGCCCTACCCATTGGCATCCGCCATCTGTCCACCCCCTCCACACACACACTTGAGGCAAGACAAATTTGGATTATGGCTGCGCGAACTTTTGACTGTCCGCCAACTCTAAGCCAATGAAATTGTGAGACTTAGATGCTTATCAATGTGTGTGTGCGTATGTGTGTGTTTGTGTGTGTGTGTGTATGTGTGTGTTTTGTTTGTTTTTAAGCCAAAAACAGTTTTCACGTTGTTATTTTACAAATGACTGATGGACGAGTGAATTAGCCCAAAGCAGAGCTAAACTTTCCAACATTTCAGCTGCAATTAGTTAGTTCAGCCAAATATTTACAACACAAAAAAAAAAACAAAAGGAAAAAAGAAGAGGAAAAAACAACAGACAACAAATAATTAACTGACTGTGTGTGTTTGAGTAGGAGATTAAAAGCCAAAACAGTTTAACATCTTCATAAATTATTTACAAATGCCTCGACAAAAAGAACAACCGCATGGAAACGGCTCCTGGGGCATATTTGGACTCGATTAGCATGCAGCGGCAATTGCCGCAGGCAGCATGCCACCCATATTTTCTTCACACCAACCGCACCCAAACCACTCTCCTACACGAACCGCAATCCTTAAAGGATGGTGCAGGCAGCTTCAAAGTGACTTTGCTTTTCCTCTTTCCTCCCGCTCTCTCCCTCTCTCTCTCTCACTCTCTCTCTCTCTCTCTCTCTCTCTCTCTCTCTGTCTCTCTCTCTCTCTCTCTCTCTCTGTCTCTCTCTGTTTGTCTCTCTTGACATGCTTATCTGTTTGGGTGTTGTCTCTGAGTGAAGAAAGGGAAGAGAAGTGGAAGTTCGCTTTCATCTCAACGAAATTAACAATTTTAAGTCAATTAACTAATTGTTAGCTCGCTTGGGCCAATTGTATTTCTTTTAGCAAGGGAAATTTCATATTTTATTTACACATAACAAGGCAGGCTTACAATTGTAATAAGCCCAGCCAAAAGCATATTAGAAAATTCACTACAATTTCGCACACATTTCGCCATTCATTTCTGTCCTGAAAAATATTTAAAATAATTATAAATTGTTTAATTTTCTTAGCTGCAATAGCTATACAGTATGCGACGTTTAACTAAAATTCACATTCGCAACTGCAGCAATTCAATTTGGGAGTTATTGCTTTTGGGAACGGATACCATGGCAAGTGAGCTGTTTGTATGCATGCTAAAGCAATTTACATGTCATTTGTTTACTGTCGCATTTTTGTCTTTACGCTTAAATAATGTCAATCAATTAAATTTGCACACAGTGGAAAGCAGCAGCAGCAGCAGCGCTAGCAGCAGCAGCACACAGCAGGCCACCCCCTGGCTAAGGGGCGTGGCAACCGCCTGCTGGTAGAATTTTATAAATTTAGCATGATATGCATAAGCTCGTGTGCTTATGCGTGTGTGTGTGCTCATAACATTTTTAAACGTGAAAAATCAAATAATAAAGTTGATTTTTTGTGTGGCATAACTTGTTGGCTTTATTGACTTGCGAATTACTGGATGGCACATCCGTTTCCCAACCTGCTATCTGAACATAATGAGATATACTTTAAGAGGCATGCACTAAGCTAAATGGATTAGCTATTGTCATATAATATATATATATATATATTTTTCTTCGGTGGATATTTAACAAATGTACTGGTTATGAATGAGAAACAAAAACTTTCAGCTGACGCCTGCAAGCTTAAAAGCTTAAAAACTTGTTTAAAAGCAAATCACTAACTTCAAAGGTATTATAGTTTTTTTTTTATACTCTTGGAGGGTAATAATAGTATCCAAGGGGATATTTTCATTTTGTTGTGAACTGTGTAACATTCAGGCGAACACTTTTGACCTCACCTTAATGGTGATGACATTTCGCAGATACCTATTTTGTAAGCTGAGACTAAGACACTTTATATACTTCAAATCTACTTCTCTTAAAACCTGAAGAACTTATATTTTGTGAAATTTCTGGCATAGCTACCATACGCAACCTATGTAAGACTGTCGAGTGAACTCAAAAACGTGGCCTAATCTTTGAGATACACATGAATTTATGTCAGGATACGTGTCTATTTTTTGCTATAGTGCAATGGGTACAGAGGGGCCGGACATGCTTATCTTACTGGTTTGCTGGCAACAATTGCTGCGACTTCACTTGCCACGGCAACAGAAGCAAAATAAGCAAAACATTGTGAATGTCTGAGCACTGGCAGAAAGACTGGCCGGAAGAAATAGAAACGGAGATGGAACGGGCTCAAGCGGAATGGGTGGGCGGTCCAGTTAAGCGTGCAGAGAAGGAACTGTTTATGTTTTCATTCTTTTTTTTTTGGTCAGGCACAAGTCACGCCTCCATCTGTGCGCCTTCCATTGTGGTATTCTTACGTCTCCGTTTCCATTTGCAAGACTCAAGAGAAGTCAAATCTCTATGATGCTTTTCATATGCATACCTGTTAGCCGGAGAGTGCGATAGATGTTTGAGTGCAATCCGAAAACCAAATATATGTTGTGCATATGTTGAAGATTTTTCAAAATATGACTCACATTTTTGTTGGCAGGGCATCCAAAAGTCGCAGAGCTGACTTTGGACATTCTATCTTGTTCACATTTAATGCTTTATCTTGTTCTGTTTTTGTTAGTGTAGTATGTTGATTGTATGTGTGTGTGTGTGTGTGTGTGCGTTAGGTTGGTGCGGGGTGTGGGGTGTGAGCGCTGCCTCGCCTGCAGCGTTAAATTCTTGTTAAAATATATTGTGGAAAAGGCTTATAAATATTTCTTCTTATATTTTTTACAGCTGGATGAATTTAAGTCTGCCCGTCCATAGAGATTTTTGGTTACGCATTCCCTTCGTTCCCCTGATTTGGCATTGTTGTCGCGCTTGTCAGACATTACTTAACCCATTCAAATTTGACATTTGCCTCATTAATTCAAGACGGAATTCGCATATCTTGCGTTTGCTACACTTCATTTCACTTGAGCTTTATGGGCAATGTCTTCACTTAATCACTTAATGCGAATGTTCACGTTACATTTACGGCCATGTCGCACCTAATTAGTCCAATTAAATTTCAACTAAAATTACGCACATTAAATGCAAATGAAGTGAGAATTGAAATTAAATGCATGTCGCACGTTTCAGTTTTCGTGTTTTTTTTCTTAATTCTAATTCACTCTGTACTTGATAAGAAATCAAATCGCGTGTCAAGAAAGTGCGAAATTTGCTAATGAGGTTAATATAGACTCTCTCTGGAGACCTCACCCAAATTTAAAAATAATGTAAGCTAAGCTTAAGTCAAAGAATGGTAGCCAAATATTCTGTAATCTAGGTGGCTAAAAAATGAAATAGAAAATATTAAGATTATTTAGTTGCCAATCACATCACTTTTCCCTCTTCCAGGGTATCAAAAACGTATGGGCCTGATTTAATATGAAATATTGAGAAGCTTGGTACAGGGCATATTCTAGTCCAACACTCTCGACTAAATCATTATTATACGAATGAATAATCGACCAGCCAAATGTAATATTTAGAGTACCTAACTTTGAAAGTGTTATTCGAATCTGAACGGACTCATAATTTAAAATGGTTTTTGTATTTTTGTAAATTTCGTCTATAGTATATAGTATAACCCATCTGAAAGTCGCGCAGATCATTTTTGAAGCAAAATAATTCATTTTTAAATAATCGTTTTAAAAACCTCAAGGCAACTATTTAATTAAAAATAGCTCTAATAATTATAAATAAAAAAGTCGGCCTTAATTAATCGAACTATTCTTATAAACAAAAAAAGAGTTTAATGGAAAGTAATTCAATAAATTTTTTTTTAAAGGTGTAAACAGGAAATTTAAACAAATATATATTTAATTTACGACATATTTTCAATCTTAATAACTAAAAAATATTGCAAATATTGCTGCTTTAAATGATATGTTTCTAAGATCTTGTGAATGCACAAAATATCTGGAATTAATGATTTGCTCAACTTTCTCTTTGATTGCGTTTCACAGAGCAGCTAAAGGAATGAGTCAACAATTTGACATTGTAACTGGACTCATCAATCAAGTGGAAAACTGAGCAATGACAAATTAAAACTGCATATTGGAAACATCTGTTTCTGAGCTTTCTGTCTGGTGATAATATGTTAATGAGTTTTATGCCATCTACGAACTTAAGTCGTTTGGGTATTGCCTTCACACCACGAAACCCACAATGCTGGGTGCCTAATTAAATTAGGTTCTTTACAAAAAAAAAGAAAGAAAAAATAGTTTTATCCTTTGAGTTGGTTTCAAAACACTTTTCCCGACCGCAAAACTTCGTTTGAATCCAACAAGAACCAGGTGAGACATACGTCATGAGAATACTGAAAGTGTATTTAACTTTATTTCTCATGTCTTGGAAGGGAGTCTGGCGGAGCAATAGAATGCAATTACCGATTACAAACTATACGCCTCACTACATAATTCAATTTCCGGGAATTATGCGGTACACTCACCTTTGTGGATTCGACGGCACATGCAAAACTGCGAATCAGCAATGATCCGTCAGAAGACGTAGTTTCTCACACTCGAGACTCCACTCAACACTTCGGTTTTTGTTCATACATACTTAATTCATTTGATTTGATTCTATTTTTATTATATTTCACTTTTGATTCTGTTGCTTTCTTTCTGTTCCTTTTGCCACACAAAAACAAAAAACAATAAAAATCTTTCACATTGAGAAATAGTTTGAAACAGAACTAGTGTTTATATTTAAGTAATCGTAAGTACAGCGGTTGATATTTTCAAAAAACCAAATTTTCGAAGTTCGGGAACGCTCGGATGCTACGCCGGCCACACAACCGTCGGTCAGGACATTCGCAAGCGAACTGCGCGCTTCATACAATTCAAAACACAATCTAAGTGCCCTGTCGCCGTATCGCACTAACCAAAACAACAACGAGACGAAACCCGAACGTGACACGCGCCCAACGACTGCCGATGCGGCGTATGCGCAATTTTTGCACTTTCTGTCTCCGAGCGCTTTCTGAGTGGCCGCCCACTCATTGCTTTGAGTGAGCTGCTGGCTGTCTGAACGAAATGCGCCTAAGACACAAAACACACGAAACGAAACGGACAATCACAAACATAATTACATTAAGCATCGAGCAATATAAACCGATATAAATGAAAGGTAGTTGAAAAGATATTCAGAAATTTTAAAAAAGTATATTAAGTCTATCTAAAACCATTAGCAATTCACATGTTTTAGTAGTGAGATTTTTGTCACTGAGTATTTTTTTATTTAAAAAAAGGCCAAAGCTTTCATATCTCCGAAAAATGTTAAAGCTAAAGTCACCAAACTGAAATAAAGATATATTTCACAGTTTTTACGAACAAGCTTTCCAATAATATTTTATTTAGCTTACTTGAAATTTATTTTATTTACATATTTTACGTAACTGTATAATCAGAATTTATTGTTTTATATAATTATTTGTTTATAATTACCCTACAATTATATTTGAAGTAACTGAAATGAAATCATTAGAGGAATTTGTAGAAGCCTTATACACTGTCAATTTTAAACTTGTTAAATTTTAACTTGTGTGATTAACTCGTAGAGTATCTTCTATTCGAAGCATAACAAAAATAACAAATTTGGCAAATGTCCTTAGTAAGTTTATTGGCAGGGACTGCCTGTCTGTTTCCCATTTGAATGTTGTTTATTGTTCTTAATTAATGTGATTTGCTGACCAAAATTGCTTGGTTAATTGTTTTGCTGTGATTCTTAATGATAGATAAATCTTAGTTATAAGTATTATTTTGAAACTGCCAGAAAAATAACAAAAAGGACAATAGTCTGTGCGAATGATTAAGATTAAATTACATTGGTAATGACACAAGCGTTAATCAGCTGAGAAAGACCGCATAATTTGATTATCACAAATAAAATGGCAGCCGAACCATCAAGGCAACCAAGGCAATTGAGGCCGAGGCAGTATCTAATAGGACGGCATCCAACGGGCGCACGCAACAGGCGAGCATGCAAATCTCCAAGGACCTGAGAGACGAGAGCAACTCACGACGGAATATTTGTAAACAACAGTGAGACAAAGTGCGGAGCAGAGTCGCCGTCACAGGGAGTATACACTGTGGGCCCCCTTGTGGGACGCCTCTGTTTGCACAGGAGTCGAACTCGTGAGTTGTGTTGAGTCGCATTCGAATTGAGTCAAAACTCGAGGCGTTTGCAGTTATGAATGAACGCAGGAATTGTGACTCAACGCCCACCCAAAGTCGTTGGCAACTGCGCCATTACAAATTGGGAATAATACACAATTGTTTGGCCTCAGGCCATCAGAAGCATAATTATGTCTAATGCAAGCGTCGCTATTATCTTTTGGTTGGATACGCTCTGGTTGGTATAGCCACGGAGCAAAACCATCCGCTATAAATGCAATTAAAAAGTTATAATTGGGTTGCCATTGAAAAAGACAGTTAGTTACTTTAATACAGCTAACAGCTTGCACCTTCAACAATAATATACAATATAAATACACATAAATTAACTTTCTAACGTCTTTCCAATATTAAATGTCTCGCGCGCACAACAATATATCGTTGGCATTCGATAAGCCTATCGATACAGCAGCATGCGAAATATCGTGCATCAGCTGTGCATTTGCTGAGTTGACCCGCGTAGCTGCTTACTGATTGCTGCTGGAATTTACTATATAAATTACCATTAATATAACCAATTTAACAAGATAAACTATAATTTTTTAAATCAACCATCATAAAAATTTATATGTGTATAGAGTCGAACAATTAATGGAAAGAGCAATGTGGCAGATTTGAAGTAACAATTTTGAAAGGCTTCACCGATATTTTTTATCTTGCAACAGTTGACAAATTGCTCAAAGCGTAAGTATGATTTATTTTAATAATCGATAGCAATATTATTGTATCGAAACTGTATGTCAGCGATACAATGATAAATCAACGAGCCAAGCACTTAATACACTCTACGATTTTGCATGCGTCCAACAACGGGCTCGACGTAATAAATTAAACAAAAGACGCGCGATAGTTAAGATCGCAACGAGCACAACGTCAAGACAAAGTGCAAGTGGGCGAGTGTCGCCGCCTACATATCGATATGTGAGTGAGAGTGTGTGCATGTGTGTGTGTGTGTGCTTGTGTGTTTGTGCAACGCTGTGTGTGGAAATTAACGTAGTGTGAAGAAGTTGCAAAAACGACGACACAAATTTGGAAACCCAAAATCAAAGACACAGCAGCATCGCTAGCAGCTGCAACAACGACGAGCAAACAACAATAAAAGAAATTTAAAAAAAACACCAACAATAACAATAACAAGGAATTCGTAAGTATCTAAATGCATATAAGCAGCACATAACAAACGAAACGAACGCAAGGGAAACAGTTTTTGATTTCGATTTGGATTCCTGTAAACAAAAACCCAGATCAGCAGTAACAGCAGCAGCAGCAACTAAACAATGGGTTTGGCATTGAACATTGAGCAGCAGCAACAGCAGCAGCAGCAGCGGAAACGTCGTTGAATCATCATGCGGAACTTGTTTTTGTTGTACTCTGTAGTCGCAGCATAACAACACAAAACAGCAACAGCAACGAGAACGACAACAACAATTTCCAACAGCGACGCCGCTCGTATTGAGATTCTGGCGAAGTCGCTCAGTTATTTTATTTATATATTTACTTTTGGTTTAATTGAAGTCGAATCGTAGCTTATGTATGCGCATTTCTAATCAGTTTGCGGCGATAGCGGCGACATCGTGCAATGTAAACAAAGAATTGCGCCAGCTGCCCTTCCGCTCCAGGCTTTTTAGCTGCGTGGCTACATATACATTTATTATGTATCTATAGTCTATAGTATCTGTTGTCTGTTGCCTATATTTGTGTCTCTGGCCATCGCTTTTATCTTATCGCTTCATATATTTACAGTTAAAGACAATCACACACGCAACCAATTCCAGTCAAAGACATGGAGGAGAAACGCATAGCGGACTATTTTGTGGTTGCCGGTATGCCGGAGCAACCGCAACTGCTACAGGACAACATATTCAACGATTCGGGCCGGTTGCGTGCGGCGAATACAATTGAGCCCATCACAGACATTGGTGTCTACTTTCCGTTGCTGGGCGAGCAGCTGCCCGAGGGCTATGAGCTGCTCGAGCAGACGCCCACTGGCATGCCGGCTAATCTCAATCACGGCTCGGTGCGCACTACCGAATGTTATATCTACTTTCGACGCGGCAAGGATCGGCCACCGCTCGTGGATATCGGTAAGCAAATTCAATCGCATTGTGAACGAAAGCATAAATATTCTTTTCTTTGTTTCGTTTTTGGTCCGTCGTGCAGGAGTTTTGTATGATGGTCACGAGCGCATCATGTCGGATGCGGAAATTGTTGGCGAAACACCGGGCGGGCGTGTGGCCAATGTGAATAACTCGTCTGCGAAAACGTTTCTCACATATCGACGCGCCCGCCCAGACATGCCCTGCAACGAGCTGGTCGTCACCGAGCTGTGCGTGATTGTCCAGAGCAAGGGGGAACGGCCGCCGCATGCCTTCTGTCTCATATATAAGACCCTGAACAAGGGCTATGTGGGCAGCGATGTTTATTTGTGCTACAAGAAGTCCATGTATCGTCCAAAGCACATTAGCTATAGGCCCGAAATATTGTTGCGCTATCCCACCGTGGATCACACAGACTTTCCCCTCAAATTGTGTCCGAGCGTGCCGCTCTTCTGCCTGCCCATGGGCGCCAGCCTGGAAGCGTGGCCGCATGTCAACGGCAACGAGAAGCGCAAACCCATCAGTCCGGTGTTCAGCACATTTGTGCTGACCGTCAGCGATGGCACATACAAGGTCTACGGCTCGGCGCTGACCTTCTACGAGGACTTCGAGTGAGTAGTGCACTAATTGAAACTTTCCAATTTCGCAATTGATATAATTTTTGCACTTTGCATTGATTGCAGCGAATCGCAACTGTCGGCGGAGCAACGCGATTTGCTTGGCTGGAACGAAGAGTTTGCGTCACAGCACTCGCTGCACATGATCAAGGCGATTTGCCTGCTGTCGCATCATCCGTTTGGTGACACCTTCGACAAGTGGCTGAAATACTTGCACGTAAGCTGCATTTTCACAAAATTAACAGACAACTGCTAACTTTTTTTTATTCTTTTCCTTCTTTTTGTTTTGTGTTTTGTGTTTTTCTTTTAGCGTATGGTTTTATATGGCGGCAATATTCCGATACCCGTAGAACGGTATATTATACAGCTGCTGGACGAGGTGCCGTTCCCGGCACCCAGCATCCATTTGCAGCTGTCCAGCGAATCAAATGATCGCATTTTGCTCACACAGCCAGAGGATTCGCCGTTGCCACGCAGCGGCGCCGGTTTTTATATGCTGCTTCAGAATCTGGGCACCGAGAACTGCCTGCACGTACTGCTCCTTGCGCTCACCGAGCAAAAGATACTCATACACTCGCTCAGGTGGGTGATCTACATATTCGATTTATGTTTGCATATAATTAACGAATCGCCGAATCTTCATTGCAGACCTGCAACGCTGACTGCCGTCGCTGAGGCGATTGTGTCGCTGCTGTTTCCGTTCAAGTGGCAGTGCCCCTATATTCCGTTATGCCCGCTGGGCTTGGCCGAGGTGCTCCATGCACCGTTGCCTTATTTGATTGGTGTTGACTCGCGCTTCTTCGATTTGTACGAACCGCCCACGGATGTGACCTGCATTGACTTGGATACCAATAATATTAGTGTATGCCCGCCTCTGTCTTCACATCATGAATCCCTAATCAGTCTCGTTCTCTCTCTCTCCGCAGCTGTGCGACTCGCAACGTCACTTGACGCCTAAGCTGCTGCCCAAGCGTGCCGCCCGCCTGCTCCGACAAACGCTGACGGAGTTGGAGAACGTCAAGCCCGTAAGCTATGACTCCACCAATAGCTTGGATCGTGACATACGAAAGCGGAAGCGTGAGGTAGGCTACCGATAGCATCTCTTTGCATTTGGTTACATTTGATTGAGTGATTCCTATTTATGATTGCAGCTGGTGCTGGAGCAGCGCATTCAGGAGGCATTTCTGCTCTTTATGGCGTCCATATTGCGTGGCTATCGTGACTACTTGGTGCCCATATCAAGGGCGCCCTCCGTTGGCGCCACGGATCCAAGTGCCTTATTTCAGCTAAAGGCTTTTCTGCGCTCGCGCGACAAGGTAAGAGTGAAAGGTGAAATGGAGGATTTGGATTCTCTACATAATTCAAACAACTGGCTCACAAACAAAGCGAACTAATAATTTATGTACTTGATCTTGCTTCTGTTTGCTGTGAGCAGCAATCATCCACAAATTTAAATCTATTTTTAAATTCGCATTACTCTGCTGACGTCAGCCACAAGTGGCAATCAATCGATGAGAGAAGCGGTCATCGCTATAAATCTCTTGCCACTCTGCGGGCAGAAAAATAATTCCTTTTTGTCTGTTGCAGACACACACATTAATTCTGATTATACTTTAATGCTCTTCACGCTTCTGATATGAAAATCCTTTTGATTATTTTAAATTTAAATTTAAATAATTTTTCCATTTTAAAAATTGTTCAAAGGCAGCGATGCTGATGCAGTTCTTGAATCATTTTAAATATATTATACATTAGTATTAAGGTTTTTTTTTTTACCCTCGTATTTTCATGTTCTTTGTTGTTAGTTTAGATTCGCAAGCTTTCACGTTGATTCAGTTGAATTGTTTCCTTTATGAAATCAATTAATGAACGAACTGAGTCAATTAAAAATAAGTCATGAGTCAATGTGTGATCTCATATACTGAATTCAGGCTAAAAACAACAAAAAAGAAGGCAAGACATTTACTCGAAATCGATGAATAATAATATTTCACATTATAATTTAGTTTTTTTTGGATAATTTCGTATGGATTTTATTAATGATTTCTCTCTCTGTTTATCTGTCTTGTGCAGTCGCACCAGAAATTCTTTGAGCTGCTAATGAAAACTCAGATGTTCATTCGATTCATTGAGGAACGCAGCTTTGTGTCGGACGGAGATCATGGTCTCAGCTTCTTTGACGAGTGCGCCGAGAAGGTGGGCGGCTACGACGAGACGCCCGCTCAGCTGCATCTGGTTGATTGGGACACGGGCCAGAGCAGCGAGCGCACCAAGTACATCTTTCCACCAGACAGTGTCTCGACGACGGCTGGCGGTGCTATCACCTACAATTATAATAGGAACTTCACACTGCAGCCCGAGTTGCTGCAAAGCACAAGGAAGACCGCGCTGTCCCAGTTCCTGCAGATGCAGCTTAATGCGTCGATGTCGCCGGGATCGCCGATAGCGCGTCGCACCAAGCACGAGGTGAAGCTGTCACAGAAGATGGCCAGCCGTTGCCAGCAGCATCCGGAAGCGTGGTCCAAATATCTACTGGCCACGTGCTACTCGTTATACTTCCTGATACTGCCCTCCATGGTGATAGATACGCGGCATGCGGGCAAGGAGCATGACATTCTGCGCGCCGCCTACGATGTCCTGGTGCGTGCCAGCAAGTTGAAGATCACCTGCGACGAGTTCTGCTATCGCATCATGATGCAGCTCTGCGGCATTCACAATCTACCCGTGCTAGCTGTGCGTCTACACTATCTGATGAAGCGATCGGGTGTACAGCCGAATGCTCTCACTTATGGATTCTACAATCGATGTGTGCTCGAATCGCAGTGGCCCAGCGACAGCACGACGCTCAGCCAGATCCGCTGGAACGGCATTAAGAATGTCGTCATGGGCGCGGCGCATTTTCGACGCGCCGGCAAACGACATGCCGCCGCCAAGGTATGCAAATCGCTCAGCTCGTCGCACGACCACAATCTGAGCACACTGGAAACGGTTGACGGCCAGTCGCGCAGCAGCTTGGCTAGCTCCGGCGAAGGTGTCGGCGGTGGCCTGCTGGATTTTGCCGCCTTCGACAGGCTGCGCAACAAGCTGGGCAGCATTGTGCGCCAAACGGTGACGGGCGGCCCGCCCGATGCGCTGCCCACCGAGGATGTGGTGAGCAGCGCAGGCCTGCTGATCAGCGGTGAATCGGCCAGCAATAGCGCCAACGGCAGTGCACCTCACACACCCCATACGCCCACCTATGGTGGCAAGTCTCGCAAGCAAATCATGAGCATCGGGGATGGCGAGGACGATGATGATGATGATGAACAGGTCCGAAATGAGGAACAAACGGCGTCGTTGACACCGCAAAAGGTCAAGCAAGAATTGCAGTTTGCTGGCGGTGATTACGACCTCGACGTTGATGTGGATGAGGATGTCGATGAGGAGCAGGAGCCAGATGAACTCGATGAGCATATGATCGCACAGCGAGCCAGGCAACGCGTCCAAAGCCCCACCAAGTGAGTTGAATTCCGTTTTCCATTTGAATTCGAAACTCAGCATCGATGGTGCTTCTATTTTGTTTGCTTTCAGAATATCGCCACGAACGCCCGTTACGCAAAACGATCCGCTGGGCGCTTTGAACGAGGAGATCGTGGCCGCCGCCACACAGCAGCAGCCAGAGGCGCAGGCAGAGATGATGGCAGCTGCAACGGCTCTCAATAGCAACATGTACAGCGATAAGCCAATTCTATTCAGGGGACAGCGCAGCGCCACCTTCGATGAGTCGACGCAAATTGGGAAGAGCATGCATCGGTCCGAGACGATGCCAGTGGCCAGCAGTGGGGTCACCCACAGTCTGGCCAATATTGGCTCCTCGCTCAAGTTCACTTTCGGGTAACTAAATCGCCACCAGTTGGTGCCACACGATCCAAGCGAAAACAATCAGTACAAAATGAATAAGCATTGTTGTTTTATAAACTGTTGTGTGCCATTTTTCAATTGAATCATTTTGCAAACAATCCACACGCATTCCACAACACACACAAACACACACACATATACACACACAGATATGCAAACTCAGTCAAATGCAAATTTTTGTTTTTCTTTTTTTGTTTCGTTTAGATTTGAATTCGATAAATTGTTTTTAATTTGTTTGCCTCTCTTCTATTTTTACATATCAAAACTGAATCGCTCCAATTCGTTTCTGTGCATATATTTTTTGTATCGTAGACGTTATTCACCCGCACGATTGTCCCTTAAGAAAGACTTGAAATTGCCCGCCAATATAATAGAAAATATATCAAGCATAAGGTAAGTCAGACAGAAAAGATCTACACTCTATTCACTCTCTCTCTCTCTCTCTTTCTCTCGACAAACCCACAAGCATACACTGTGCGGATGCATTGTGTATGTATGTCAAATTGAAAATTCACTTCTCACAGGTTCTCCATGGGTATACTACTTATTATATTATAGCTGGTGGCGGAGTCTGTTCAACTTTGGAGAACTTTCAAATCATTTTTTTTTATTATATTTAATATAATTACCATAATTACTCATATCAATTATTTAGTCATATTCATAATTATATGATTTCAAAGCCATTGCCAAAATGATTTACTTGCTTAATGGCTTTTATTACAATTTAGTGATTATTTTAATACTTAAAAATAACCTTGCTACAATTGTAATTACTTTCAATTCCAAACATAAAATCAATTACAATTGCCAAAGTAATTACACGCACAATATATTTGAATACCAATTCATAATTCATGGCAATCACACTTATCTCCCACTCTTGTTGCTCAAGTTGCGAGTTTAAGTTTCAAGTAATTGTTCAATTACTTAAGTAATTAGTGTTTCACAGCATTGGCTTTTTAACACAATACATTCGAGTCGACTTTTGTTTCATTTGAGTTCCACATTGAATCATTGATCAGTTGCTGCGTTTTGCGTTTCGGTTTCGGTTTCTGGGTTGTGGCACAGCACTCAACTTGCTCCTCGGCGTTGTTATTGTTGTTGTTGTTGTTGGTGGTGGTGGTGGTGGCGGGCAATTCAAGGTTTGACACAAACCACATACACACGCACACATACATACATCCACACACACAAACACACACACACACTTATCGTTAACATGTTTCATGTTTGTAAAATCACCATAAAATAAATATGAATTATAAAAAGTAAACCTCAACATCTACACTGACACAAGTTTTGTCATAACCCACAACAGCACCCAAAAACTCGATCACACTCTCTTTCTCTCTCTCTCTCTCTCTCGCTGTGTTTGTCTCCCTGTCTCACTCTATTTTTCTGCACATGTGTGAGCAGCACAGCAAATAACGATTCACTTTGAATGCCTTCTGTTTCATGTATAGTATTAAAATGGATTTATTTGAAAAGTGAATTTTATATATCGCAATTAGTATTAATTGGAGAACCACTCAATCTATATATATATAGTCCATGTGAAATCGTTTATTGCTGTCGCTGCAATCCTTGTTTGTTGTTCGTATTTCATTCGTAAAGCTCTTGTCACATAGCCTCTGTGTTTGTGTAAAGAATACAATACAAATGTGCAACTTCAACACTTTAACATGTGCTCTTTAACGTCCCCAATAGCCCCAGCTTGACGGGCAAGAAGTCCAATGAGCTGATCCAGGGCAGCCTGAGCAGCATTAAGTTTGCGGCCAATTCGCTGACGCGTAAATTTGATGAGATCAAGGGAGCCATATCGGCGAACTCGACGCCGGTGAAGACGAACAATGGGCAGCATCATCACCATCATCATCATCACCATCTGCAGCACCATCATCATCATCAGCATCATCATCAGCAGGAGGCGTCTGCGGGCGGCGAGGAGCATGACACAGCCGGCGCTGGTGCCGACGAGGGCAAACTGCGACGCGTCCCCAGCGATCTGGACCCTTGGGGCAGACTGAGCGAGTCGCGCAAATCGAGCTACAACAATCTGGTGCCACTCGGCGAGAACAGCTCCAATGCGGCGATGCATATGTTCGCCTTCCCCGCCCTGCCCGACAATCTCTATAGCCCAACAGCCGAGGTAAGATCTGCTACAAAGCTCAATACAAATAAATACACCAACTGATTTACCATCTTGATCTCGATCTCGATGTGCTTTGCAACAGGGTGGTGGCGTGGACCCGGAATGCGATGTGCTGATACAGTTGACGACCTGCTCGAAGTGCCACAACTGTTCGGTGCTCGTTTATGATGAGGAGATCATGAGCGGGTGGTCGGCGGAGGATTCCAACTTGAATACCACGTGCCACGCGTGCAACAAGCTGACGGTGCCCTTTCTTAGCGTTCAAATCACGCGTCTTGCAACCGCCGAGAGCGAAACTAATGACGAGGCAATTGCAGCCGATAAGAGTAGCATAGCGGTGCCGTATCTGAATCCGTTGGTGCTGCGCAAGGAGCTGGAAAACATACTCACCCAAGAGGGCGACATGGCGCTCATCAAGCCAAACTTTGTCGAGGAACATCCCATCATCTACTGGAATCTATTGTGGCTAATGGAACGCATCGAGGGTAAGACCCATCTGCCCGAGCTTTGTCTGCCGCCAACGGTGAGTGATCCAATCCCATCCAATCCAAAAGATCTGTTCTGATTCATTCACTTCAATTGCAGAGCGACGAGGAGCAACTGGACCCACTGACCAAGGTGAAAACCGTTCACATACAGTGCCTGTGGGACAACCTTCACTTGCATAGTGAGACAAGCGGATCACCCATGTACATCCTCTACAGGGAGACGCAGCCCACAAGTCCATTGATCAAGGCTCTGCTCACCGATCAGGCGCAGCTCAGCAAAAAGTAAGACAATTAATAAAAACCATCGTCATTTTCTAAAGAATTTTCTTTTTTGCGAAATATTTAATTTATTATAATTCGCTATGATTGCGAGGAATGCTAATGCCAAGAAATATTATTCAAAGATATAATTATATATATATATATACATTTAGTTACTCCACTTACATTATGCATTGTTAAATAATATTTGATCTCATTCGATTGTTTGTTTATTTTGTTTGTTGCAGCGTCATTCAGCAGATACTGTCAGCGATACGTTGCAATGATCTGGCCACGCCGCTGAAGCGTTTGGCCAACGAGCGGCACAAGCTGAAGAATAATGGCGTGGAGCGTTCACATTCATTCTACCGGGATATACTCTTTCTTGCGCTAACGGCCATCGGGCGTGCCAATGTCGATCTGGCCACATTCCATCGCGAATATGCGGCCGTCTTTGATAAGCTAACGGAACGCGAATGCAACATGTACTATCGCAATCAGGATCTGCCCCCATCGGCATCCACAATCTTCTGTCGAGCATATTTTAAGCCCCTTTTGCTGCCCTGACGTGCGGTCGACGTAGATCTGGATGAGGACGATGGCGAAATGGATGTGGACGTAGACGTGGACATTGACTTGGACGTGGACGAGGATAAAGCAGATTTGAAATCGTAAAAGACATGGCGACCAAAAACAAAACAAAACAAACAAGAAGAAAACGCTTAACACAACCACATCAATCAATTGACAAGCAAAACAAATAGCTAACAAAATGTTGACTTGTAAATGACTTGAACTTAAATTTTAAGTACTTAATTTTTGAGGTTTTTTTTTTTATACATTTGAATTGACAATTTTCATTTTTGCTTAGCATTCTCTCTATCTTTCTATCTCTCTCTCGCTCGCACAATGCAGAGCCAACTCTTTCACACACAACACACACACACACACACCTATAAGTGACTGGTTTCTAAGACAATACACACACACACAACAAATGAAAAACTTGGCATGTTTAAAAATACTTGTTTGTTTTCTCTATATAAACATATAATTGACTTCCCGCAACAAACTTGACCCTCGACATACATATTTGCCTTATTATATATAATATAACGGAACATATGCATATAGAATGCATGTGCGATCTGTCTGTAATTAGTTTGTATGAAGGATGTATTATATACATATTATGTACATACATACACACACGCATACACACACATACATATGTAGTAGTATGTATGTCATCATTTCAATCGCAACGCCTTTAAATTGTGATTATTATTTCAAAAATATTAATTTCATCAAGCTGCGGTCGTCATCGACCAATGTAGATAGCGAACGAAATGGAACATCTCGAAAATCAGTGGATATCCGATGGGGAATGGGTATAGGAAGGGGAATAGGAATGGGGGGGAGTGGTATGGGTTTGGGCTGGGCTTAGGGTTAAATGGGCTGAACTTGTGGCGCAACAAACAACCGACATACAAGAACAACAACATCAACAGCAACAACAAAAACAACGATTACAATAGCAATATAAATAAATCAGTGAGATAAAAGCAAATGTTATTCAATTTACAATTTTTAAATATCACACACAGACAAAAAGAAAAACTATAGGAAAAATAATATATATAATAAAAGAAAAAATTCATATATCTTTTCAGAAATCCTTTTTGCCGGTCATATTAAGTAAATGTATATTTATATTTAAATTAACTTAAAACAAATTGCAAAAATAATAAAAATAAACAAGAAAAATAAAATATATATACCCATTTGTTTTTTCTCTACATGTGTAAATCGCTGAATATTTTATTTATTTATTAATATATACATGATGAATACATCTACAAAATAATTTAACAAATAGTGCAAATTTAAAAAAATATATATATATTTATATAAAAATAAATGATTTAGATTATATTTTTTAGCTTAATGGTCTTTTTTATCGTTTTTATTGAGATTTTCAAAAAGCGAAAATACTCAGTTTGAAACATATTTTATCATGTATAATAATATAATATAATATTTGTATATTTTGTTGATAAGAAAATTGTATATTTTTTATACGTAGCTAGAAAAAAATAATTCAGTAAGATAGCGTACAATTCTCGATTGTACAATCAAGTGCAAAGTTAATTAACTAACCTGCTAATTAAGACAACGGCTAAATGGACTTAGCTGACACAAATATGAACTGAAAATTGAAGAATTTTGCATGTTTTTAATTTGTTTTTGATTTTAGCATAAATAATAACCAAAGTTTATTTATTGTTTAGGAAATACAAGTATATAAGTAGCCAGGAAAAATGTAATTAATTAATCACCTAAGCTAACCGAGACATAAAGCAATAATCCAAGTGAAAGGATATTGGGTTACATGGATTGCACGGTTGGTACAGTAAACACTACGACTAAATGGATTTAGATGTGATAAAATATATAAATATATATGTTTAGTGGGCAGCAGACTAAGACTAATCGGAGAGCAGGACGACTACATCGCTGCTGTGGCCAGTGCCGGCTACTGCTGCCGGCGGGCTATTCTTGGCGTTGGCCTTATCGCTCTGCTTGCGCAGGTACTGGCTGATGAGGGCATTCTGATCCCGCAGCGCAGACATCAGCAGCGTTGCACGCTTCTTGGTGGACGGCACAGCCGCTAACGGTGCAGCTGTCGGTGTTGACGTGCCAGTGGTGAATTTACTGATGTCCGATGTGGAGGCGACAACAACAACGGGCGTCTCTGGATGAGACGGCGGAGTGATCTCGTGCAATGAGGTGTCCCCTGTCTTGGTCGTCTTCGGGGTGAGCGTGTACGTCCATCGATTCTGCAGTGTTAGATCGTCCAGCTGGTATTTGTGGAGAGCGGCGGCGTTGACCACCCAGCAGAGACGCTTCTTGGGTTTCTTGGACTTTTTGGCATCGACACCGATTTCCATTTCGACCGATTTCCAGCCGGCCAGCTCGTCGAACTTCTCGCGCAGCAGCGTCTTCGACGGCGGCAGCAGCAACGTTTGCGACTTCAGCGCAATCTGTGCCTTCAGATACTCCAAATACTCGGAGATGAGGAATGCCTTCGACTTGCTATTGCCATGGACGAGGCGCACCAGCTGTTGCAACAGCGGCTCATCCAGCTGCATAATGCTCGGCTTGGCCTTAGCCTCCTCGGGCGCCTCCTCCTCATGCGCCGGCTCCGGCGGCGGCTCCAGCGTCAGCGGCTTCAGCTGCCAGCAGGCGTACATATTGATGGTCTGTATGAAGACAGCGGGACAGAGCTGCGATTTGTTGCCATTGTCGTCCAGCCAGACGGGGCCGAGCACACGTGGCTTGATATTTTTGGTCTGCTTCTTCATCTCCTGGGCAAACTCCTGCTGCAGCACCTGCAATTTGGCCTTCTGCGCCTCGCGCGTATTGCCATCGTCGAGTTCGCCATCGTTTTGCAGCTCCTCCTCGCTGAGATGGCCGTGGGGCACAAACCATTCGTTGTATTCCTCCTCCGATTCCTCCTCTGATTCGCGCTCCTTTTCATCCTCGCTGGCGCTCAGCGACTCGCCCGGCTCCTCCTCTTCCCACTCGCAATCGGAGTCCACCTCGTAGTCAAAGTGCACCTTATCCTGGCCGAGGGGCCGACGTGCGCTGATCAGCTGGCTGCGCTTGCGCCACGTGCCGTAGTACGGCGGACGACGATTGTCCGCAAATTGCAAATACTTGGCACGCGTCCAGGGCCGCTGCTTGGGTCTCTCCACGACAATGGGCGTGCCCGCAGTGGCCAGATCATCTGCAAGTGGAATGTTTGCATTAGCAGACAAAGGAATGGTTAGATTAGAGTATTGCTTTTGCTTACCAATCACTTGGACATCGTCGTCCTCCTCCTCGTCCTTGGCGCATCTGTCGAGTCGTGCATCACGCTTGCCGCGCAGCGGCTTGTGCCTGCCTAGGCTCAGTTCGCTGAGATAGAGCTGGCCACGAGTGATGCTCTCGTTGGCATCACCCTCATCAAGCTGATCGTCATCATGGAAGAGACTGTCCAGCAGTTGGCGAGTATCGCTTGGCAGCGTGCCGCGTATGACGGGCGCCACAATCATGTCGTCCTTGACCTGGAAGGGACGAAAAGCGAGCATTTGGCTGCCACAACCACTGCTGTCACTGCTGTTCTGCTCGTGCTCCAGGCAGCCGGAGTTGCCGTTGCCGTTGCCATTGTTATGGCTATTGCTGGTGGTCTGCTTCGTTCGCTTGGGCACAAAAAATTTGGTGAAGGATGCAGCGGCGCGTTTCTTCTTCAGCTCTGCCTCCTCCTTTTCCTGCTCTTTGCGGCGCCGTTCTTCATCCCTTTTGCGCTGCACCTCCTCCTTGGCCTCGTTGCGTTTGCGCTTTTCCTCAGTCTCTGCCTGCCGTTTGCGCTCCTTCTCCTCGCGCTCCTTGCGTCGCTCCTCTTCCTTCTGTTCGCGCTCCTTGCGACGCTCCTCCTCCTTTTGCTCGCGCTCTGCCTTCTTCTGTTGCTCGCGCTGCTCCTTCTCCAGCTGCTTGAGGCGACGCTCCTCCTGCAGCTTGTGCTCCTTCTCCTCACGCGCCTTGCGTCGCTGCTCCAATATCTTTTGTTGCTTTGCCGTCAAAATTGGCGGCTTCTCTTCCACTTGTTGCATTTCCACGTCCATAGCCACATCGCTGTTGTCCAGCAATATTGTGTCCATATCCATTTTGGGATTTGCATTTGCATCGGATTTGGCTTTGGCGTTGGATTTGCCGTTCTCCTTTGGCTCAATAACCTTGGGTCGCTTTTGGGGCTGCAGTGACTCAACATCGTCGCTGGAATCGCTGCGTTCCTTGTCCGCTGGCTTCATCGATGCCTCTACCGACGATTTGATCAGCGCCTTGCGACGTTTGGCGCGTTTGTTATTGTTTAGCGGCAGATGGATTTGAATTGGCGCCAACTTCCGGCTGTTTTTTTTCTCCGGCATTGGCTCTGCTTCAGTTGGCTCTTGCTGCTCCTGTTCCTCCTCCAACTGCTCGTGCTCTTTCTCCTCTTCTACCAGCTCCTCCTCCTCCACCTCCTCGTCGTCGTCTAGCTCTATAACATCTTCGTTGTTGACATCGAGATTCTCTTTGCTATTCCTGCTGCGCAGCTGCTTCTCCGTTCCGCCCTCCCCCAACTCATCCTGCTCCATTGCCGCTGCTCCGCTTGTTGCGCGCTTGTCGTCATCATAGGACAATTTGCGCTTGCGCGGCTCACGCTGCTCATCCGCTGTGGCTGTGGATGCAGTCGCCGTTTGCTCTTCGGCCGCCGCTTTGGCCAGCGGCGTCAGCAGCTTGAAAGGCAGACGAGTTTGTACAAATTTCTTGCCACTGCTCGATTTGGATTGATTCAGTTCTTTGGCGCGTGTCGCTTTTGGTGTTTTCACATTGCCATTGGCGGACATTTTCCTTAAATTGTTATATTAATTGCAGTGCAGTGCAGTTAAGTTCAGTTCAGTTTAGTTTTCCCAGTTCTCGCTTCTTTACCACGCACACACACACACACACACACACGCATAGACACAACAGCGGCACAAATTTGTGGAAAAGCGCGCGAAAAACAAAATATGCACAGCTGTTTTGCTGGCAGAGTTGCTGTTTACCCAAAATTCGATAGTTCGCAATGGTTGGCAATGCGTTACGGTGGAGCAGACTTTAGTGTACACCACACATAGATGGCGATCTTCCAAAATGAGTGCCCGCAAAAGCGGTTAAATAACAATTTATACTATTTTATTTAATAAATTAGCAATTTGCTAGAGCAGCTAGTAAGTCACTACTGAGCTTGTCAGTCTCGCATTTTCTTACCCAAAAAAGCAAACTCAGTGGCTGCTGCTGTGTACTTCGCAGAGTTGCCAGGCAAGCCGTTATTGTTTGGCGGGCAATGAATTTAAATTCCTAAATTTTATACAATATGTGAAAAATTTTAATTTAAAATTGCTTAAGCCTGCTAAATTCTCAGACTTTCAAATAGTCAGTAATAATACAGAGCAGGCATTATTCCAATTTGCTATTAATTGGTGTCCTATGTGAGAAAGTTGGAAAAAATTTGTGAACAGGCTTCCAAAATTAAAAAATAAAACAACAAAAATTGAATTTCAGCAATTTTCTATTTTAGAAAACCTTACAAATTTTGGATGTGATTTGAAATACGATTCTGCTCGAAATTTACGATAACGAATTTGAAATGATGTCTTTTGATTTGAGCGCAGTTAAATTATTATTTTTTTAATTATTAAGAATCACTTATATCAGAAAGTGGGCTAAAATTACATGTAGATTTCTCCGATTAAGCAAAAAACTATTGACAAAATATTTGGAAAATGCTTGGCATATTTTTTGAACACTTTTAATTGAGTCTAAGTTGAAGAGCGAATTTTGCCAAGTTTTCTTTTGATGCACAATTGATGAATTGCTGCTTTGCACTTTTGTTTCAATTTTAATCACGATTAATTACACATTTCAGTAAATTTTGAAATTGATTTTGTCAGTGCCACCTTGCCACAATTTTTCACATTGCCTACGCAAATTAATGTGCCACCTTTTGTACAATTTTTTTTTTGCAAGCCGATTGTGGCCACAACGAAAATATGCCTCAACGTTGGCATGGATACTGAGACAATGCCAAGGATGCAAAAGACAATGAGGATGCCCCGGCTGCTGCTCCTGTTGCTTTTCTCTGCTAGCTGAAACATTAATTTAATTACAATGTGGCTTGCGATAAGCTGCTTCGCTTAACCAAAATATGTTGTAAATTGCAACCGATGCACAAGTGTATGTCAAGCACCCCCTCCCCCCGCCACACGCCCTCCTCCTGCCCCACTCCTGCTGTTGCTGCTGCTGCTGCTCCGCAGCACATTGTTGTCATCGGTCGCTGTTTGGCCATAACCCATTTAACTTATGCCCAAATCTCAAATCTAATATTGACATGTGTAACAGAAACCGCCCGCCTGCTGTGGTCACTCCTGCGGGCGGTGTGGAGGGGGCGGTTTAGTGAGGGGGGTGGATGTGTTTGCTCGACATCGACATCGACTTCTGTTCGCAATAATGATGATGATAGTAATAATGGGGAGTAATCATAATTTTGCTGGGATGCCTGTGTTTCCCTTGGGCATTTCGAGTTGGTTGGCAACACACGCGAGCGTTTTCGCCGAGCGTTAAATGAAAATTCGCTCATGCATATGCCCCGCAATGGGAGGGGGTGGCCTAATAGAAAATCTATTAGCGCGCACAAAACGCAAAATTCTCAGGAGAGCGTAAGCGTAAACGTGGAACGGGGTTGAGGGGAATGAAATTTGTAGTTTGAAGTTTTTAAGCATCCTTTTGATCAGACGAAACCAAAATTGCTGCAAATATGTTGCTTGAAATTATAAAGCTGTTGGCGTGACAAGACAGACAAACAGACAGACATATGGCAATCGCACAAAATAACAAAAGTATATAAATAAATAAAATATATGTATAACCTTTGTACAGCCTGCAGGCGATTAGATGTGCGTGACTCATCGACCTATCGATAGTTGGCCGCCATCCTGTGATCGTTCGATAAAAAGCGATATCGAAATTTACAGTTAGCTGCATTGGCATTTGATGTTCCAATTGGGTTTGCTGGTTTTCCGTTTATTGTGACAAATTTCTAGCAGAGAGCCACATAAATCGTAAACAAAATATGTGAAATATTTCCAGGCCATCGATCAATGTTATTTTGTTTCTTTTAAAGATCCATAAACTTTGTGAATTTCTTATATAACATCATATTTATTTCTTTCTCTCTCTCTCTCTCTCTTTCTGTGCATTTTATTGATCAACCAGATTTACAAACCAAAATGAAGAAAAACAAAACAAAAAAAACCTGTTGAATTCATTTTGATTAATGCGACATTCCACGAAACAAAAAGTTGACTTCAAAGAGCAGCTTATTAGAACTCGGATATTATAATCAACACCTAATTAAATGTAATTATAATAGCCAATTGCGACTGAATTATATGAAATGTTTTGAACAAATTTTGCGACACGCTGGTGACCAGATTTTTATATACATCTATTATTTCTGATGTGATAGTATGTGTATATGTATATATATATATGTGTGTGTGTAGTTCCTCACCCAACCACCCCGAAGTGGCCCCTTGTCTTGTCTTGTCATCAATCGCAGTGAGTATTGTATTTAAGTAATTGGAGGGTAAAATGTGTTTCCAATTTGTTCTACATATATATTTGTATATATATATATATATATATATATATATATATATTTGTATGTATGTATGTTAGTGTGTCTGTTAGCAACATTTTGCTTCTTTTTCTTCAGGTTTTTTTTTTTGTTCCTGTTGTGGGCTTACTTACTGCCGCACAACATTAACAACAGCAACAACTGGAAGATTGAAAAAAGTATTGAATTACATTTATACAACATTTGGTTGAATAGCTTTTGCCAGAGACCCCGCAATCCCTCCCTTAACCCTCCACCCTCCATTCAACCCACCCCCTTTAACACGGACCCTGCGCTGCGCTGCGGTTTGTGTTTCCTTTTGTTCAGCGCTCGCTTGTGGGTGGCTGGGTGGGTAGCTGTATTTTGTTGCTGTTGTTGTTGTTGTTGTTGCTGTTGTAGCTGGGTGGCCTCAATGGCCTGCACTTGTGTCTATCCGCCCGTCTGTCTGTCTGTCCGCTCGCTCGTCCGTCCAGTATATCTGTGGCTTCCATGGTGTGTCTAGCTGCGTCAGTATCAGCACAATGTTGTTGCTGTTGCTGTTGCTCTTCTTGTTGTTGCTGTTGCTGTTGCTCTTGTTGTTGTTGCTGTTGCTGTTGCTCTTGTTATTGTTGCTGTTGTTGAAAGGCATTTCCATTGGCATTTCCCGCAGGAATCGCTCAAAAAATTCATTAGTTGCCTTCATTTCGGATGTATATTCTATAATGTGTCTGTAGATGACCCATACACACAAACAAACACACACACACACATAGACACATACATATGTACATGTGCACAGAGAAAAAAAACACTTGAAGTTAAGAAGGCATTCTTGTTTTTTTCTACTTAAAGCCGGCGTTGAATATGTATTTAATATTTTTTTATTTATAAAAAAAACTCTTTTCTCATTAATTATGTTTGTAGACTTAAGTTCGAAACTTTGTTTAACTTTCTTGTAATGCTTAAGACTTAATGTACTCTGTTGAAGTAACCAGCATATTAATTTATAAGAAGCATTTTTTGTCGCTTTAGAATGTAATTTAGGGTAAATAGTAATGGTAATAATAATATATAAATAGTGATCATAATAATAATAATAAACACATTAAAATTCGGAATTTGCGATTTTCCATTTTGAAATCAAGATCAAGCAATTCGAATTCGAGAATGTGTCATTTTTCTCTGTATAGATGATTTTTACATGCATATACTAAGTGGAGTAGTTGTACTCGGTGCCATATAAGTTTGTATGTAGATATGAATGTGTGTGTGTGTGTGTGTATCTTTATCGAGTTCGCTTCGCTCGGCTTTGTGACTCGCTTTATTATGCCGTTTGAGGCAAAAGAGACACGCATTAAAATTGTAATAGCCAAAGCGAAAATGAATGGCAAACGGCACAAGGAATGGGAATGCGGTAATGGTTTATGCTAAGGGGAAGTTGTTCAGGTATACAAACAATGCGGCAGCGAGTACGACTGAGTGGGAGACACCGACAGAGGGAGAGACAGAGAGAGAGAGAGAGAGAGAGAGTGATACAGGTTGACACACTTGCACCGAGAGACGCAACCGGCGAACGTCCTTAGCACAATACGGCTATTGTATGCGGCCGGGTTTCCATCGCCTCACCGGATATATTTCTGAGAAAACGCATTTCCCACACTTTTCACTCTGTCCCTCTGTCGCTCTGTCTGTTGTCCGCTGTTTGCTGTCTGTTTGTTGCCCACGCTTTGATCTGTCGGTCGACCTGTCGATCGACAGCCATAAATAGCTGTCAAATTCAATTCCGTTTGCCTCAAAACCCAACCCCAACCCCGACCCCGACCCCGATCACGACCACGACTCTCTTGTCTGTGTATGCCTCTGGCATTCTGTAAGCTTCATTGCAACAAATTAGCTTGATTCACGTTTTGACATTGCCTTTGCTGATGCCATGATCGGGCAGTTTCCACAGTTGGCCCCAACAGCTTCCGATCTTCTCGATTGCCGTTCAACAAGTCATGCTTCCAAATTGCCATCTGGCCAAGCTAGCCGGTGATGAAAGTTGTTTTGTCATACATCGCATGACGTGCGGCTAACCCCACTCCCCGTCTCACATTTCCAACATCGAGCTTGCCACAAAGTGTAGCACAGTTTTGGGCGAACTCTGTGAGGATAGCGTTTGAGGATAACAAAGCTGATACAACTCGCTACAAATATAATAGTTGCAGATATATAATAAATCCCCGCGAGCACCTAATATATATAGATAGTTTTAATATATAATATATATTTTTTATCTAAGTCTTAAAACTGTAGCTGTCATGGCAAGTATTAGTCGAAGGATCCGTTTTTGTGTGATTGGTTAAATTAAATACAGTTTTTGTTTCTGACCAAAATCACTAGGCAAAAATGATCCATATCGGACTACTATACCATATGGCTACCATAGGAACAAAAGATCGATTTGCTGTATTATTAACACAATTTTAATGTACGAAGTGTTGGAGTTCGTTCTGCAAGCGAATTCAATTTGAGT